TTCGAACTTTTTAGGAAAACCTGGATTTTTCACGTTTTCGGCTTTTTTTGTTGTTTTGTTTGCGCAATCCTAGGATTGGTTGGACCAAGTCCTCCACCTTTTCCTATCCTGCGCTAATCTTTTCAGTTCTACATAATTATCCTTGCCTACGTCCCTAACTATTTGGTCTATGTGTTTAAGTCTCTGTGGTCCTACCCCTCTATTGCCCTCTTGCCCTCTGCCCTACCTTCTATAGCTAGTAGTGCTATTCCTCCGTGTCTTAGCACGTTCGCTATCATTGTATCTCGTCTTCTGTGTACGGTTTTCAACATTTCCCTATTTCCTGTACTAGCTCCAAGACTGCTTCGTTTGTTACCATATCCATCCAGCGAATCCTCATTCCATCCTACTTTTGCACCTGTATGACCTACACTCCATTTGTACGTTTTTAGCAATCTTTTCCTAATTCCTATATTTATCTCGGATCTTAGCAGGTCCCATTTTTATTACAATGCTTTTTTAGCCTGCGCTATACTGGATTTTATATCTTCCTTGCAACGATTATCTTGTGTAACCTTACTACCTAAATAGCAAAATGAACGGTTATCCTAGAAAGTGTTCATTTATGTAATACGGAAACTGGTTTCCTCATCGGCAGCTAAAGGGGCGCTAGAAGTTAAATCACCTTCTGTTTCCAATTCCTAAAAGAAATAAATAAATCTGGAAGCTACGGTTTCTTAGTAACGAAACATCCAAATTTATATCACGTTTCGATACCGTGCGTTCAGGTGTAACGGTTACTTTTGTAAGAGTAGATCGGTGTCTGATTTTTACTCATAGTATAGATTTTCGTCATTGTGTTGTCGTTCGGTCTCAGAATGTTTCCAGTTTAAAACTTGTGTATGGAATGATTATTTTCACGCCGTTTTTTTTAGTTATGTGCGAATAGTTGAAAGGATTCCGCTTATTTACATTAATTGTAAAATGCATTTAAATATTTTTTACGTGCAACTTAACCTGACTGCAAATAATAATGAAAAATATAATGAATAAAATAGTGTTCATTTAGTTAGTACTCTCAATCTTGTTCTGAACTCTGAAGGTTTTTTTTTAACAGAAATTTTGACATTCAGATAGAGAACGTCAAGAAGAACGATTAGAAACATCAATACTAATTATCCGAAGCTTTATTTAACAACAATAGCCGGAAAAGAGAGAAACCCATGATGTGGGTGGTTTTTGGTCACTTTTGCAAGGGCATCGTATTATACGAAATAATTATTTCACTCAAAACAACCATTTTGACACCTTGACGACGAAATTTGGACCATTCGTTCATTTGTTATGCTCAAAAATCGGAAAATCAAATTTAGGGGTAGTTTTTTCAAGATGGCGTCCGTTCCCCAACCGGGATCTTTTGGGACTTTCTGGATTTAGTTCTAGCACCATCCTCACCAAGTATGCCAATTTTCAGCTTGTTTTTTCAAATTTCTGGGTCAATGTCTACTTTTACTGGACTATGATACGTCTTATGGTTGTCGAGAAAGAAATTAAATGTAAACTCAATTTTAGAAGCTTTCTTAGGAGTAGCTTCCAAAGGAAACTTTGCGATTCACAATTCACTGAAGGAGATTTCCCGGTGACGTAACTAATGAATGACTGTTTGTGGTGTAAGGTAGTGTCTGGGGATTCGCCGGGGACGTACTAATGACCGACCTTGTCTGTGTTGTATTTTTGGTAAAAATTTTCTAGTTTAATTTTATACAGTTCACGTTTCAGAACTTGTAAAAATTTTCGAGTTTCATTTTATCACATGAGAAAAATGAGATTTTTTAGAAATGATTTTTCATGAGCGTTGTAATAAAATAAAATAAAATGCACAGATATATAAGACTATAATTGCGTGAACCTTAGGATGCATTAATGTAATCGCGTCTGTAGACAGTCGAATACTAACAGGAATTCGAAGGTTTCTTTTACAATGTAATTGTAATAAAAGAATGATTTACTCAGTTTGTGCCTTTCTTTCTATTAACGTAAACTTTGGTTCCATGTACAGCCCCGTGCGGGAACGGGGAAAGAATATTTCCACTGCAGATGTACACAGGTACACTGCATGCGATAAGAGTCCGCTAATCAAAGGCATCTTCGTCTCTTGCACACTGCGTGGATTTTGTTATTTGGGTTCGGTTGGCCCAACATATAGCAGGGGACAGTCCTGTTCTATGCTCTCACTGGTGGACAAAGGTTGAGCGTGACTAGAACGAGTTGTATTTATTACACTTTTTTGTAAACTCTAATGAGTTGGTCCTCTTTATCGGCGGAACGGCAACGGGAGCCACTCTCATTTTTAGTCAAGCACTTCTTCCTGAGTAATGAGTGATATCCTTAGATAAATATTTTTGTATTTTGCAGCTTCGATGCTTATTTCCATGACGTAGGCCGTTTTCCTTCTTCAAATTTTGTGTGTGGTGATTTAGCGGGGATTGTTTGGTTTCGCAAGCGGTTACTTCCAATTTGTGGATCAAAATTGAATTTTTGTTGCACAGTTTTTAAATATAAGTCAGGGAAGTGATAAGGAGTGGTCTTATTTTGCGTCGGATTTCTTGCGAAGTTCGTGAGACAAACGTCACCGATTTAAAGGAGCTTTCCCACATAGGTCAGCATTATTTCCTCTGTGTTTTGCTTAGTTGGAGGTAAGCGGATTAAAAATCGGCGGTGCTGCTTAGTGTTTGTAGGAGCCAATAGGGAAATGGGATTGAAGTGAGAATTCAAATTGATTGGTTGAATTTTCGCGCCATGACGTAAGTAGATTTTGAAGGAAAAAATGAGTTGGTGGAGAATGGATAGAGAGTGCCTGAGTGATGACTAGAGACTGTCAGCTTAACTAAATTAAAAAAATTTGTTAGTACCTCACACACAGTATGTTTTATTCCATTTCAACATCTGCCCGCCCTTATTGAAAAACCCTTTATAAATAATTTAAAAAATCGCCTAGGGTCCTACCGAAACTTTTTGCGTAAAACTGCGTAAGTAATCCGACCGTCAAATTCTTGAAATCATATTTATCTCTCCGTAAAACAAGAGTGAAATTCAATGGTGTGAATTCAGCCGAATTTTATCCCTCATCAGGCGTTCCCCAGGGAACACTTGGTCCTTTTCTGTTTCTCTTATACATAAATGATTTACCGCGAGTGATAAAAAACTCGAAAGCACTACTATTTGCGGACGACCTAAAACTTTTTAATAAAGTTCAATCCCTAAGTGACTGTTTAAATATTCAAGAGGGCATTAACTCAGTAATTAAGTGGTGTATCAAAAATAAACTAAAACTAAATATCAATAAGTGTAAAGTCCTTACTTTTACTAGATCGAAAAATCCCTTACTTTTTGACTATAAGATGAATGGAAAGGTCTTACTACGAGTCACCTCCGTTAAGGACCTGGGCGTGTTTTTCAATACCAACCTTAACTTCAACTTACACATTGAATACCTAACAAATGAGTGTTACAAATTTCTTGGTTTCGTTATCAGAAATACACTCAATTTCACGAATATACAGACAATGGTAACCTTATATAATGCGTTTATTAGATCCAAGCTTGAGTATGCTGCATGTATCTGGTCTCCTCAAACTCTCAAATACTCAGACATGATCGAAAAAGTGCAGAAAAAGTTCATCCGAGTAATGTTTTTTAGGTCAACCCAAAATTATCCACATTTGATCTCTTACGGTACCCAGCTTAATTACGTAAATAGTACTTTCGGCTTAAATATAACGAGGTTAGAAACCCGACGGTACATTGCCTCCACAATTTTTGTCTTCAAAATTTTACACAATTTGTTATACTCTTCCGAATTACTTCAAGAAATTAAGCTTAAGGTACCATTTGTTAAGCTAAGGCAAAATAATACTATTTTTGTAGTTAACAACACAACTTCCCCACTTATTAAGATCTTGATCACTTTAAATAAGTTGTCCTCAGTTAATGATATCGACTTTTTTCACGATCCCCTAAATTCAATAATATATAAAATTAGATCTTAAGTCCTAATATTTGTTCAGAGCCCCAGTGCCATGTAATTGGAATTTTTATTCTGTATGGTTTCTGGTTAAATAAATAAATAAATAAATTCTAGGAAAGCTTTAAAATATTCACAGTTAATATTGTTCTGGTTCTATTAATTGTCAGGATAATTGTCAGACTTGCGTTAATTAACGCGTAGTGATGACGGTAAACAAACGAGATTTGTAAAAACATCATATTTTATTTCCTCGTGATATTTTTTGCGTAGGTTACTGGTTATATAGATTTATGACTTACAAAGTATATATACAGGGTGTTCCAACGAAAATTTTGTACTATTACGATGGACTATCGCCGATTGCCGAAAAACTCCGGAGGTTTTGTGAAATGTAAGATTTGGTTTGAATGAAGATTGAATTTCTGTATGGAAGTTGATGAATACATTTTTATCAATATACCCATGGCTTTTACTAATTTTTAAATTTTAAGCGCGATTTCTCGGTAACTAATCGATTGATTTAAAAAAATAATAATAAAAGGATTACGTAAAGAATGACAAGCCCTTAAAATTATGTCATTTTAGCCCTCGTTCCCGTTTAAAAATTTGTGGGGGTTGCAACGCTAAGCACCGAGTTAAAGTTGCAAGAATTATTTTTGCATAATAATTCACCCCTCTCGATATAAAAATGAACCGGTTTTTAGATTTTCGTTCAAACATTTATTTTGTCGAGTTTTAGGGGGAAGGTTTCAGGGGCGTGTATAGTACTAACTAATGAAGAAACGACGGAAATGTGTACGTACAAATTCAATTTAAACTTTTACGTTGCAAGTGCGTGGTAGAGTAGCAAGGTCCCAGTGGTTTATCACAATAAAATTTATATAAATTTTTTCCCACGTAGTAATTTTCATTAGTTAAACATTTGTTGTCCTGCACTTCCTATTGGACTACTAAAATGGTAGTTTGTGTATTATAATCGGACGTTTTCTTTCAGTCCAAAGAGAAGATGATGAGGGGCGTGAGAAGAGGATGCGTTCGGCTGAAAGGTGCGGTGATTGGTATTGACGACGAAGACGAAAGTACGTTTACAGTCACCGTAGATCACAAAACCTTTCACTTTCAAGCACGAGACGCAGAAGAGAGGGAGAAATGGGTGCGCGCTCTTGAAGACACGATTCTTAGACACGCAAATAGGGTAAGTTTGTTGCGATACGTTTGGTCGCTTTTTTAAACGAATTTGATACATAAATAACATTTTAAATGCATTTTTTACCCTTTGTACACGGCCAGAAGAGCGAAAAAGGATCTTTCAACTTTGCTCAAACCTTTTAGTGACACTGTTTCAAACTCACACAAATTATAAACGGTCAGATCATAATCAACAAAATCTTTTAAATACGTATAACGCTTAATTGGAATTGTAAATGTCTAGCGGCAATTTAATTTATTAGAAACAAGCGGAATAATCAAGTTTACAACAAGGCCAAACAAACACATCGGCTATATTTGGCAATTATAGCAAAATGACGTTAATATAAAATGAATGAGGACACAGGTTCTTCCGCTTTGAGGAATCAATGAATTAGGATAACCGTATAAGTTACCAATTCGTTTCACACAAAAATAACAATTTTCGTCAATAAAGTTGCCACCCCCGCTTGTACCGAATTTGAAATTAATATTCCTACAGTTTATAGACTAATTTGTATCCAAAAAATTAGAATTAGTTTAGCCGAAAACTTTTAAAATGGAACTTGAACTCTAGTGCCGAATTAAGTGAACTTAAATGCGAGTACCAGTACAATTTTGTTCGAAACAATTTCGTTAGGATCGAGAATCCCTACAAGAACATCTAAAATCTGGTAGGCCACTTAAGGCAAGACCACAGGGGACAATAAAGAGAATTGAAAAGATAGTGTTGACAGATAAGGCCATGATATTTGCAGGATTCACGAGCCTTAAACAATTTGACAAGGTATATCCATGAGTGTGGTTTCCAGCCATCCGCCTTGTAGTCCGAATTGCCATCCTGGTACTACTGTCTTTTCCCCAAGTTGGAAACACGCGACGCCCATGTTGCTGTTGTCGACAATTATGAAAAGGTACCAAAAGAATCTTTTTATTGCTGCAATGGAGTGGCATATTATTCGTTGTAAATCCTCCTTACCTTACGTTTCTTATCGGATCGAAATTTCCCCGTTGTAAATTTTATTTAACGAAAAAAATCCAAATTTGTTTGCAGTTATTGTTATCAGGATTAATTATTTACCCATAAGCCAATCTACACAAATCGGTGCTGTTTAATAATCACGAATCAAACAAAGCAATTTAATTTTTACAATAAGACATTGAAAATTCAACAATAGCTTTCTTCGAGGCTTTCTTAAAACAATGTTTCCTGAAGCCGGTGGTTTCCGGAGCATACAAAATTGAATCGCTTTCTTCTGTGAAATAGATACTTCTTCAAATAGAATTTTCCTCTTCGTTATTTTCTCTTTTTCGAAACTAATCCACCCCAAGTTTCTTCTTGCCTATATTGCACGTCCACCGTTATTTTTTTACATTCGCTACATATTTTCCAAAGGTTACTATCTAATGACGTATGACATATTGATATTACCATCACATAAGTACACTTTGGTTTCTTTGTATCCTTGGAATTCTTTTTTCAGTTTCTCCTCTTATACCCTTTTTATAATTTAATTTTTTTTCCTTCTGTTGATGTTTTTTTCATTTTGTTGCATTGATTGTCTTTAATGGTGTCATTATTGTGTCAGTGTTTACAGATGTTTCAAAAGAAATACTGGCATCTAATTTAATGTTTTCTATACCCAAAAGACCCTCTGACGTTGACCTCTGGAGCCTTAAACTATTGTTCCTCACTTTTGTGATAGTTGTTTGTATTTCCATCTTTGGATACTGGACTCGTTTTAACATCTTGTCTTTCAGTGTTGAGATCATCTTCATTTAAAGCAGCCTTTTCTGAAGAATCTGATTCATCTCTATCAATAGATAAGAGCAGTTTGGCGGTTCAAATTTTTTTGCTCTCCTCCCTACAGTGACATAACATAACCGGTAATTGACCTGCGATCATCCACATTGTTGGCCCAATCACCATCCGCATAACCGATCACAATAATATCAAGATCATACTCTGCTGCTATTCCAACTAAATATCTTATCCTTAATAAATAAATTTGCCATTTTCAAACTGTCCACTAAAAAAGCCAAATCAAAATGAAACCGATGCGAAATTCGACAAGTTGGCGTTTTGAATTTAAAACTGATTTTTATTATTATATTGAATTTCATAGACATATCGACGATTTTAATGATATTCATTCAAATGCGCTCAGGCATTATTCGAGCGTGACGCGTAACGCTGTGACGTATATCATATATGACATGATTTTACTCTCGTGCAAAAACATACAGTGCATGCCGCGCCATAAGAAGTAGTCACTTCAAAAATTCTGGGACGCTTTTTTAAGAACATTTCTAGAAAAAAAACCTTAATGATATTCGTAGAAAACATTTTTTATATAGTCCTGGAAGTCTTGAAAAGTTACCTCGAAAATTACTGAGGAATCTTGGAAAGCTCATAAATATTTGATTACTTATTCATTAAGCATTACAAATTACGGCAAGCGTAGATTTTTCGAAATGATTTCTACTAAAGCAAACTGCCCTCCAGGCGGTACAAGTGGAATTGCTTGGAATTTCATTTCATTGCGATGTCTGTATCGAACAAATGAATTCTCTATATTTCGCTGCGGAACGGAAACAAATGTTTGTCTTTCATTTTATGCTACAATTACCTAATTGTAGTTTTCTTTACAGCTAAGATGGGATTCAAGCGCCCCGGTACCTTCAGTTAAGGACTTTGACAATAAAGTCTCAGAGGCCGATGCGTACCTTCAGTTGATGATAGAGCAGACCAGGGTAAGTGTTCGAAAACAATTTCAAAGATGGTAAAGCGCCGCCCAATTCAACCCTTCAATAATTTTCTTTTAAATGTGCGCTCGAAACGAAATCGGATTACAGCAACTTTTTACGTAAACCAATTTCCGTTTCTTTAATGATATCCATACGAGATATTGACGACGGTACTCGAAGAATCCAATTGCCTAGATTAAATTCGCCAAGATTTTTGCGCATTTTACAGTGTGAATATTTATCCCTTGAACATTGAATGGTAGTGATGTTAATAGGAGTATAAGTAGACCTGAAATGAATCTAATTAAAAATTAATTCCCAGGATTTCACGCCGATGAATTTGATTTATAATGCCCATAATAAGCTCTGGAAAACACAGAGAGACTCCTTTAAAAGAAGACATAACGTGCAATTTCCCTTTGTACACTTTTAAAGGGAAGCACATCAAAGCATTAAAATTTTACATCGTTACTTTTCAAGATATTCGCGCTTAGTCCTCCCCTCGCCCTCCCCATTTACACAATTTGTGGAGTATCAATGTTTAGTTACGGTTATCTAACCCGTGCATTTGAATTTTTCCAAAGAAATTGAGCAATAAATTTAAAAAAATCATTATGCTGACAGAATCGCACTCGAAAATAGAGAAATAAATTACTATGCCGCTGCGTTATACAACAAACATGTTTGTCATTTATTGATAGTAAAAGTGTTTTACCATCCAGTGACCATAAGCCACCAAATTTTGTCATTTAATTCAACAAACTGTTTAATAAAAAAGAAGCGAAATTTCCTGAAGCACTCACCGAGTTTTTTTGGTCTTAATTGCGCCTGCGTGCGGGGTATGTGTATAACCAAGCCTCTTTTTATTCCAGTATTATTATTTAATTTTGTATGTTTACCAAATAAATTTGTGTTATTGTCAAATGTCAATTCATTAGCTGTGCTTAATCGAACCGATTGTGCGACCCAGATAGAAACTTTAATTAATTCTTTGGAATTGTCGGGAGTTGATCGATGCCGCCGTGTCTCCGAAATTTAATAAAATTCAACTTTGATTTGATTTGAGCTAATTGGACAGGTGTTTTGTACGTGGCACATAACAGTATTGTTTTCTAAAAATCCCAATAGACACCGAGGCGCTATGAATTATCATTAGTCATCGGCGATAATGCTTATGTGATGCATTCTGTTCGGGAAAAAGATATGACCAGGGATATGACTGAAAAACCGGAATTTCGGATTTTGTTTTTATTTTTTTAAAGGACGTCTAGCCATGGTATTAAAATTTCATTCCAAAAATTAATTGTTACAGAAATTTTTTACCAGTGCCGTAGAGATTAAAATTAATTTTCTGTAAGTGGGGTTTCCAACCCCTGTAAATGCAACAAATGTAACTAAACCATTCCAATATCGAAAGTTGCAGGTGGCTGATATTTTTACACTACACGCTCTCGTCCCTCTTTTGTCTAATGCATAAAGAATTCATGTCCGAATTTTGTTAAAAACTAAAGATCATTGCATTGTGCATAATATGTTCATATTCGTCATGTAATTTGTACACTAAAAGGCATCATCGGTGAACGGAACAATATTGGTTTTCAAAAAACAGGTTTTCCGCAATAAGGATGTCTTTAGGAACACGAGTCGTATCAGGAATCTGATGAAAAAAAATTCAAAAATCAGCATATGAACGATTAAAGCGCAATTTTTGGTAATATAGATCAGTATTTTATTAGCAAAGTTTAAAATTGTCGATCTCACGAGTAATCTAACTCATAATAGACTAGAGCCTGTAAATCTACACTACCAGAAAGCTTTTAGTGAAAATTTGATGTCTAGGGCAGCAGCCAGACAACCAGCCATAACGAATATAATATCGTATTTCTTTTTTCAAAAATAGGGATGGGTTAGAAGAGCCTGGCCCAATTTTGAATAGAAATATTGTTTTACTTCCGTATTGGGCATCTGGATAATGCATTTCGGCGTTTTTAAGTGAAATTGGTGAATTTTTTTGGCAATTCCGCCTTATTAATTTACAAACCAATCCAAGAGTCACACCTGCTCTCTGGTTGCCGGAAATGGAATTAAAAGATTATCATAGTAGCGTTGAGTGGATAGATCCTTCATTCTACAGTCTGGGACAGCTAAAGACTGCCAGTTTTTAGTAGTTAATGCTGAATATTATAATTCAAAAAGAAGCTGCGCCCCTTGGACATGAGCATTTCTTGCAATACATTTCTTTAGGATACGTTTTGCCTCGCGTTTTGCTATGGTTTAACCAAACCGGCGAACAAACATTAAGTGGGTCGATTTAAAATCGCCGTTCTATAGAAGGCAGCTTTCACAAAAGCAACTTTCCTAACAAGGTACTTTAATAAAAAAGTGAAAGAGCTTTACAATTTTCCATTTAGCTCGTATGATTTAGAAGCTTATGGAACTTCCCTTCCACTTTGATTAACTACTTTGATGTTTTACGTGACGTAATACGTAATAGAATAAATAAAGTCAAATGTGCTTCAAACTGTCCATTGAAAATAATGTCAAACATCCAGGAACAAGGAACTAATTCAACCAATAAAGTAAACGGAGCACCTATACTCAAAGTAAACAGCGGATCAGACAAGGGATCTCTCGCCTCTCCAGAAGTTAATCATTTTCCTAGTTAACACGTAGATGCTATTTTTAACTTACATTATGCAAGTCTGACTAGGAAGTTGAAACTCGACTTATTTTGTTTCCGCAAAAACAGAACTCGTGCGTGTTCAGCCCGAGTAAGGGTTATTTTTCGATGACAAATTCCCTTTAATTGAATTTCGATGTATTGTCGTTTATCCCGATAAACGATCTCGATGGAAGGAAACAATGCTGTGTTTTCCGGGTTCGTTTTTTTCCTTATGCGTCATCAATTTTGAATTCGATCAATAAGCATATTTGACGACGACGTCTGGTCGTCTCTTCAAGCCACGTTTTAAATTGATTATTCATAAAAACCCTCGTAGTTTTATTTGAACTTGTTTACAATTGCAATTATCGCGCTTCGTGCTGGCAACGAATATATATTTTAAAAATCTCCTCTCAGGAGACTAAAGATGAGCAAGTCGAAATTCAAGGCGATGATGATGGTTTTCTACCACACGTCACTCGCATCCGCATTGGTAGTATTGGAAGTTTCTCAAACCCCACGGATAATTTTGCTCATAGTTTTAGAAATCCTGGAAAAAATCTGAAGTTAATTCCAAGTACATACCAGCATACAAGAGTTTGTGGTATGATTTTATTATCAGGGGTTTGCTGTAAAGGGTAAGGATAAGGGTATGTCTTCCTGGATGACAAAATTTCGTGGTTGCGTAGACGGAAATCTCATAACACTGGCAACGGCTGTCAACCCTTACGATTGCTCTTCACGCTAAACTCTCCCACTGGAAAACTTGGTCGATGGACCCTAGCCATACAGTCATATGATCTACTATCGGACGGGCATGCGGAAACAATGGCTCACAATTTGTCACGGGTACAATTTTTTAATTGTGGGCAGTTTATAGAAAACGATGGAGGATTTTAACTTTTGGAAATACAGTGAAATGTTAATGGGGCAAGTTTGAAATCTGGGTAAAGATTAATACTCTAATATTCGGAATTTTTAAAAAGGGGGGGGGTCTAACTTAGCGTTTTCAAAAGTTATTTCCGGAAGTGCGTCCATTTTGAAAATATTTTACATCGATTCGGCCTTCGGAGTAACTCCTAAATACAAATTTTTAAAAACCTACCTATTTTACTTTCTCAGAATCGTTTAACTAAAGCTCCCAAAAAAACACCCTGTATAGTGTTTCTGAAACACTATAATGTTTACGGCGCATTTTAGCGCATGATGAAAGGTACGATGTAGTAGAAAAAACATGTTAAAAAACGTAACTTTTGAAAACGTTAAGTTAGCCCCCTTTTTAAAAATTTTTTTATGGCTTAACCGTAATGGCGCTAGCTTTAATTCAAGTGGCGCAATTGAGCTCATAACCAGATGTATCAAGTGGCACAAATACCGGTAGCAAAATGCGTTATGGGGAATTCCGCTCACTTGCCCCCCCCCCTCCCCCCCCAAAATATATTTAAGGATAACCAAAAAACAATAATGGCGCAAAGATATCTTTTTACGGCGCATTTCAGCGCATACCTGAGAGTACAATTTCGTATGAAAAGATGTTAAACAAAAGTAACTTTTAAAAACGTTAAGTTGGCCCCCCCGCTTTTTGAAAATTTGTCACGGCTTAACCGTAATGGCGCTAGCTTTAATTCAAGTGGCGCAATTGAGCTCATAACCAGATGTATCAAGTGGCACAAATACCGGTAGCAAAATGCGTTATGGGGGATTCCGTTCACTTGCCCCCCCCCCCCAAATATATTTAAGGATGACCAAAAAACAATAATGGCGCAAAGGTATCTTTTTACGGCGCAGTTCAGCGCATACCTGAGAGTACAATTTCGTATGAAAAGATGTTAAAAAAAAGTAACTTTTAAAAACGTTAAGTTGGCCCCCCCGCCCCCACTTTTTGAAAATTTGTCACGGCTTAACCGTAATGGCACTAGCTTTAATTCAAGTGGCGCAATTGAGCGCATAACCAAATGTATCAGGTGACCTAGTTACAAGGGACAAAATACGTACGGGGGGGGAGGGGCTACGTTCACTTAACCCCCCCAATGTTTTTTCGGATTTCTAAAAAACGATAATGGCGCTAGAGTTATTATCGGTGGCGCATATGAGTGCATAACGAGCACATTCATTTCAAAATAATACGACTATCAAATCTCTCAGTGGGGGGGCCAAGTTAACGGACACATAATATACAGGGTGCTTCATTTCAAATAATCAAGTTGGCAGAACGATATAAACATAACTTAAAAATGTTTAGATGAATTCTTCATTCTCGTACTGTGAACTTTTGACAATATTCCGAGGCTTCCTTTTCGAGAGACAGATCGTTAGCATTCGTCGTGACTCGTGGGGCACCCTG